TTGTTATTTCAATAAGAAATCCACGTATCTTTTCTTAAGTTGGCTTGAATATCGTGTACACAAATTTCAACGTCAACAGTTTGGCGCTAGAAAGAGGGCCAACTTGGGAAAACAGCCATATCTCTCCACAAAATCTGCGAACCAGTACAATGGACGAATTTTCAGCATCTGAAAATCGATCACATACTCGTCCAGAACAAACCAGTAACCCAGCAAACACTGAGAGACGAGGTCGCAAAGAAGCTCTCGATCCTCAAATGGTGGCTATGAAGGAAGCCATCGAAAAACTGATAAATGTAGTCAGTCGACTAGTGCAAAAATAAGATCGAAATCCACTGCAGGACACTGAGGTGGAATTCCCTCAACAAGAAAGAACTAGGTGACTTCCCACTAAAAGAACTCTCCAGTTCTCAAGTGGAGAATCTTCTAAAGACGGAACTAAAGAGGTCAGAAGCTCTCCTGCCACGACGAAACCAACTGCCAGGAGAACGAATAGTGTATCCAACAGACTAGTTCTCAACACTCATTGACGCCCCCAAATAAAAATAATGAGTCTCGCATTAACCGCGCTGCGGAACAAGCTGAACCTGAAATGAGCGCTCTCAGGAAACGCATAGCTAACTTGGAAGCCAAAAACAAATGAGGCACGAAAGAGTACCTTACAAAACGTCACTCCCCCTTTACCGAGGATATTTCGGCAGAACCATTGCCTGAAAAACTAAAAATGCTACAGTTGACCGGATATGACGGGGAAGGAGACCTCCTTTGTCACTTGGATAAATACGCCTCTTAGATGGAACTACAAGGGGCTGGAGACGCCATAATGTGCCTTGTTTTTCCCTTAATTTTCAGAGATAAAGCTCAAAGGTAGTTTAGAAGGCTGCACCAGAGGTCGATAAAAAGTTGGAATGACCTCGCCACAGCATTTCTAGCTCAGTTTATGGGCTCTAAAGCAAGGATCACACCAAAGTAGAGGTTGGTGAGCATAAAACAAGGAAAAATCGAATCACTCAAAAGCTTTTTGAACAGGTTCAACAAACAGTCCATGGAGGTAGAAAAGATCTCTGATGACGCTGCGCTAATGGTAGTACTTTCAGGGTTAAGGCCAAGAACGAGGTTTTGGTAGTCTGTGCATGGACCTCAGACGAACCACGAGTTCTTAGGCCAAGCTAAAAAATATATAAGTGCGGAGGAAGCCACTTCGGACCAGGAGGATGCAAAGTAAGCCCCACAATCCCCACAATGTACGAAGGGGAAGCAAACTGACAATGACTTAGGTCGGGAAAAGAGGAAAGACCGAAGGGATCAAGGTCACTCTAGGCCCTATCCCGACAAATTCTGCGAGTACCACCCGTTGAATGCAACTCTAGAGGAGGTCTTCCTGCAAGTAGGAGAGAGAGAGAACTTGAACCGACCTCCCCCTCAGAAAAAATAATCAATGGGGAAACACCAAGGGAAATACTGTCGTTATCATAGATCGATAGGACATGATACTGACAATTGTCGGAACTTAAAAAGAAGAAGTAGAGTCACTTATAGGCAATGGGTTCGTGAAACCATTCTAAACCATTTTAAAAGCATTTTTGAGCCTCATTTTATTGTAAGAATGTATTTTGGAGAATGTGATTAAAAAATAAGGAAAATTTTTCTATTTACGTGTAATATTATTTTATTTAAAAATATGGGATTGAAAAGAAGAGAAAAAATGTATTTTGAAAATAATGAGAATCAAATAAGGGCTAAATGAAATCAACAATCAATCCTAATCCACTTGAATAATGATATTTATTATTATGATGATGGAATATCGGTGATGTTACAGTCTATGTGAAATATTGATATTTAGTAGTTTAATTTTTATGAGAGAGAATAGGAGGAGAGAAAAATGTGAGGAATAATGAATTGACATATCATCGACGTTTCATCATCATGATAATAAATAACATTACTC